ATAGATATTGACCAACAATGGCGAGATACAGCAGATGTAAACAAGCAACAACAATGGCGTCGTTTTGCTGAGATCGGTAGCTACGCGACGACCGGCACTATCGGAAGGGAGATAACTCCCAGTTTCCTTGTGTTTCATGTACCACTACTGATCTGCTTAACTGGTGTCACTAGTGTGGCGCAACCGGTATTTCACTCATTCTCAGTTAGCGTGCACATTTGTGATCATGGAAATCTTTCCAAATAGATTCTCTAGTTCATCTAAAGTAATATTGAATGTGTTACACAGGCATTTCTATATTTATAGACAACGTCGAGGAGTTATGCGACCTGGAAATATAGTTATTTGCTCCATAGTGGTTATCAAATGTATCACTGTAAGGTAATAAACATTTAATACAACTGTAACGTAAAATACTGTCAAACATAACGGCTGCAGTTTTTTTTGTCATTTTTCAGAAAACTGCAAATACAAATAAATAAATAACATATCTCTAACAAACGTTTAGCAACAAACGTTGGATTATATAGGAATTTGTGTTCATTTAACACCAGTGCAATCTGACTGTATATTACGTTACAGCAACTGTATTTTACGTTACGAATAACATATGGTAATTTCAGTATGTTTTTCATTACCGAGCATGATTATACCTGATACATCTCATTAGAATATCTTCATTACACGCACTGATAAACGTTTAACAGTTTGACTTGTACACATATACAAGAATCATAAGGTTGAAACTTCAGTACTTACATACCGATGAATTAACCCCTCAGAGCTTCAGCTCATGAGCAACTCGTACATTGAAATCGGCATGAATGACGCAACATGTTTTCATGGCGTCATCAAATTTGTTAGTGGCGTATGCACATTATGTGATGTTAAACAGCCATATAAGGAACTGTAACGTAAAATACCGTAAAGTGGAATAAGTAACGTAAAGTACCGTAACGTGCAATACGTAACGTAAAAACATCAGTCATTATTTTGAGCCACGCAAGTTAAACAAATGATAAAGTGCAAATATAGGAGACGGGAAATGGAACTAGGTTGCATACTTCTTACCAGATGATCATATAGATGTGCTCATGTTATGTATAAGGTCTTATAACGTTGTAACGTAAAATACACCCTTGTCTATACTGTATATGCATTGTATCTTCAAAGAATTGTCGACAGTGGAATTTCATTAAAATCTCAAATATTAGGTTAAATGGCCAACTCACAGTAACATTCAGCATGATATCTTCCACGTGATGCATAAAAGATTACATTCACTATCACTAGTGTTATTTTTGATGCAACAAATATATACACCCTCGCTGGCGACATGCAACGTTTAACTTAAATGGGAGGTGAGGTGAAATTGGGTTTTACGTCGTGCTTGAGAATATTTCGCTCATATGACGACGTATATGCGTGTGTATGCGTACGTGCGGCTGCTTGTACTAGCCAAGACTTAAGCTGGTTTTATAGTGCTAGCCCACCGAGATACCATGCCGCAGTGAAGCATGAATACCCCACTCAGACACATTATACTGACTCCGAGCCGACTAGTCCTTGATGTACCCATTTATGCCGAGCGCCAGGCAGGGACCAACAAGTACCATATTTTAACGTCTTTTGGTATGACGCGGTCGGGGATCGAACCCGCGACCTTCCGCTCTCCGGGCGGACGCTCTAACCACTACACCACGGCAGCAGTCACTTAAATGGGATGTTTTGCATATCGTAAGAATATACTTTTCATGTATTATGGAAATGGTAATGGTAAATTAACACATAATACCCAATGTATCTTTATTTCCAAACTATCAATATTTTTGCACTTACAATCATGCGACAACGCAATAGAGTCAATGTGCAGGTTGAGTGAGAATGAGTGCTTTAGTCAATAGGCTTGTAGCCAAACAGGGTGAAATATGTATTACACGTGGCTGCGGGAGCGCATCGCTAGCGTTCCTGATAACGAGTGTAAATGATCAATTTTTCAACAGCCCAAATCTACCAGCCATTGCTGTTTATGAAATTGTAGAAAAAAGGCATTGTAAGGCCACATAAAAACAATATTCTTGTTATTCATCACTTTTTCAAAAAAATATGGGTCGGTCGGACGGATTCTATTTTCTTTTATGTCCCAAACCACTTAATTTCTGTGGATTTTTACTCCTTTTCTCCGATAGAAAATCAAAACATAGAAGTGTGAAAATCCATGCACACTTTGAGAGTCAAAGTTGCATTTTCTCTAGTGTAATTTTTTTTTAAAAATCGTTGGGTTGGGTCGAAGTTTTGGGTCGGGTGGTAATGTGAAACAAGAATAATTTTACATTAGGCCGTATTGACATTCAGTCGGGGAGAGGCCTTTGGTCCCAGTTAAGAGAGTATTATGCTTCCGAAGTCCGCTCAAGTTCTGTCCCGAGCGTCCGGACTTTCGATGTAAACTGGACTGTCAAGTGCGTGTAACGGTAACATGCTTTTCCAGAAATGAAAGTACAAACTGCACTTGACGCTCCATGCATGTGTGTGCTGATATGCGTTTGTGCGTGAGTGCGTGCGAGCGTGTTTTGATTGGGTATAGCTGAAGATTAATAGCCTTTAGGTCTGGTCAAGTGTACGTTTGCCATCACTCCACAGAAAGTCTTTGAATGTCTACGAAAAGGGGAATTCGAATACGGCACAACTACGCCTTTAATCCACAATACAAAGATAATACCGATAAAGGGGAAAAGCGACACTTTTGGTCAGACCAATAAACCAGGAACATATTTCCTTCTGCCCTGTGGTGCCATGACCAGGGAGACTGCTGCTTAAAATCAGCTGATGAAATACCAGCGCCTTGAGCATGCACTAGTTGTGAGGATATGTGCGCTATATATAAATATCCTATGAATGAATGAATCAATGAACGTTAGTAGGCCCCTTACGTTTGTCAACGTACACACCTAAATGTTGATATACGAAATCTGTTCAACTAGTGCAACTAGTGCATGCTCAAGGCGCTGGTATTTCATCAGCTGATGGCGAACAAAAATGCTGGCAGTACACATCGGCCCATCAACCACACTGAACAGTGGGACAAAGTCCTAAAACCGGGAATAATTGGTACCTTGAAAGAAACTACTTGACTGCATGTTACTAAACTCAAGCGTAGTTCAAAATCGAAGGAAGATATAGACTGACAATGGCGAGATAAAGCAGATGTATTCTAGCAACAACAATGGTGTCGTTCGGTAGCTAAGCAACGAACGGCATAACCGAGAGGGAGATAACCCTCAGATTCCCAGTATTTCCTATACCGCTAAATACCGCAAAATATAGAAGGATCACACAACAACGAGATGAACTTCAGAAACGAGTTTATTACTTATTCTCTGAACTGAAAAATCTTGTACAAGGTCTCGAGTTTGGAGACACGATACCGGCTGTCAACTGTACTGGTTACATCAGTCGCTGGGCATTGTCTGTCACATCATGGATGTAGAACCTGGTACTTGTCTGTATCTCTCCCACGACTGATATTCCTGGACTGTAAACAAATAAATTGTATAATGAACTTTGAAACTTGAAAATATATGAACTTACAGCAACTGGAACTGAACCCATGTAATGTAAATGTATGCAAACCTACGTCACACTGACCAGATCACAAACAACCGGACCTTGGACAACCAAGATTAAAATGACAATCGGCGAGTATCAAAATACCTCACTAGAGTGTAAACTGTAAATACTTCATACCTGCTGTAAATCACGGACTTGTGATAACTGTAACCTGTATGCTTAATAGGGCTGTGTATTGGCAAATAAATTGTTTTGCAATGTAGTGCGATACGTATTGCGATATATCGGAACTTAAGTGTTTGCCAGTGAGTGACACTAATTGTGCATGGCTATCTTATTTTCTACATTATAAGTCCCTTAACATATATGTAATGGTTCTGATAGCAGCAATCTCAAAATCATGGATTTTATTTTTTAAATACAATTTGTAGGATTACAGTGTGCCGTTTTGTCATTGAATAAGGAAGGAAAATATTTGTTGTGAGTGAAAGTCTGTGTAGATTTTAATTTAAACCATAAAGACATTCAAATAAACTTTATATGTTTTTTACCAAATATACCAATTCTCAGAAAAAAAAAACTATTGCCACACGTATCATTTGAAAATATGCAATATACCGGTATACCGGTAATACCGTGTAGTCCTTATGCTTAAATCATCACAATCCGTCGGAATGAAGCAGGACTGACTGACAGAGTTTGGTTTTACGCCGCTTTTAGCAATATTCCAGCAATATCACGGCGGGGGACACCAGAAATGGGCTTAACTCATTGTACCCATGTGGGGATTCGAACCCGGGTCTTCGGCGTGACGAGCCAACGCTTTAACCACTAGACTACCCCACCGCCCCGAATGAAGCAGGAACGGCTGCCATATATAATCCGGATGTCACCAACTTGATGTACCTCCTACACCCTGATATGGCCGGAATAATGCTAACAGCAGTGTAAAACACCACTCCTTCGATCTCTAGATTACAAGGTTTCAATGATTAAAAATGTATTTGGACATCAGGTGGCATGAGAAATTAAGAATAAGGCGGTATTTTATGTTCACAACAAATTTTCAAATCCCATTCTGGATGTGTATGCGCGAACAAAACGCACCTATTGCATATACTATACGTTTTCGCCATGATGTCACAGACCTGTGGAGATCTACAAACGTTTCCCGACAGACAAAATGGGGCTGCAAAATTCTGTAATGTCACTGGGAGCTTATGGTTATGCTTGACTGTGATCCATTATGTAACATAAGTAGTGAATACTTCATATAACAAAATAATGCAGCAAACAACAATTTGAACACAAAACAAAACAAAGTTTACTAACGAAATAACAAACAACTGGAAATTATAACAGGTGTTGTTTGTGACATATTTGCCACAAATGTCCCACAAAATGGCACTTTATACGTCGTTTTTTTGTTGGAGGTGAAGACTCTTTTCACCAGACGGATGAAACGGGACAGCAAGGCTCTCAGGAAGGACTGGGGTGGGCGGGGTTGTGTGTCTGCCTCACTGCCCAGATCTATCTCCACAAAGTCAGTGTCAGCCACAATAACTTGGCCGGTGATGTTAACAGAAACAGAGGCGGGGACTGGGTCGGGGACAGAGATGTAGGAGGTGGGAAGGTTGGACAGGGGCTCAGGGTGGAACACACAAGGACGCTGGTGGGTGGAAGTGGGAACAGAGAAATAATGAGACAAGGGTGATATGAAGGGCGGGTTGTATGCTGGGTAAGGAAAGACGGTAAGAATGCATCATACCGGACACGACAGCCATTTTCTTGCCACGGTCAATATATTTTATTCATTAGCATTATTTAGAGAGGGTTAGGGTCCGGTGTAATGCATGTGTACCGGAACAATTGGCCATACAGGAGAAGGTCATGGAACATGAACACTTGGACACGGGGCATTTTGTCTCAGACATTGACCTGTTGTGAAAACAAATACTGTGTGACTTACATTTTAGTTCCCTACAGGAGCTGATACAAGTTTCAGTTTCAATAATTTAGTTTTATTCTAAAACCTTAGCACACCTACTCGACGTGGGACAGGAGTGACAGCAGTGGTGAGCAACTGGTGAAACATGACTTCTGTGTTGTGGAGAAGTGATGAAAATTCTTGAAATAATGAATACACTGAAAGTCATAGTTATGTAAAGTAGGCATTGGAGACATTAATCGTCATTAATATAAGCTGTTCTCTCGAGTGTAATACGGTCTGAGAGAATGCTCGTTACACATGACAGGATTCGCCATTTTAAAAATACCTCTAAAATCTGATGTTAAAAACAGAAGGAACACGTTTACAGTATCTAAGGAAGCATATTGATCAACGTAACACTGACAGGGGTCTTTTCAGACATCAAGAACAAAAATGCTAACATCGTTAGTAAAGATACACATCGGCCAGTCGCCATATTTAACAACAGACTGAAACAAAGTCACAAAACTGGGATTCATTGGTACCTTGAACGTAACTGCTGGAGTGTATGGGGAAAAACTCAAGCGATCGTCAAAATCGAAGATAGCTATTGACCAACAATGGCGAGATACAGCAGATGTATACAAGCAACAACAATGGCGTCGTTTTGCTGAGATCGGTAGCTACGCGACGACCGGCACTATCGGAAGGGAGATAACTCTCAGCTTCCTTGTGTTTCATGTACCACTACTGATCTGCTCAACTGGTGTCACTGGTGTAGCGCAACCGGTATTTCTATTAACTCATTCTCAGTTAGCGTGCACATTTGTGATCATGGAAATGGGATTTTTTTTAACTGAACACAATTTCTTCGATATGACAACGACAAGTATTATTTACTTGACCTATGTACAGAAGGATAGGATACAATGTCTTATGGTTCCTAATAAACGATAGTTACTAGCATTTGGGGTATTTTATAGTTTATTTTACGTCACACAAAATAATTTAATGTTAGATATATGTAAAACTATAGTACAACTTGTTTTAATTCTTTGCTAAAATCCTTTAACAAACTGAAGTTAATTTCAACACAAATTAATCAAAAAAGTAATCAGATGTTATATAGAATTTGACCGTTATATTGAAACTTCAAACAAGAATTTCCAAATAGATTCTCTAGTTCATCTGAAGTAATACTGGATGTCTTACACGGGTATTTCTATATGTATAGACAACGTCGAGGAGTTATGCGACCTGGAAATATAGTTATTTGCTCCATAGTGGTTATCAAATGTATCACTGTAAGGTAATAAACATTTAATACAACTGTAACGTAAAATACTGTCAAACATAACGGCTGCAGTTTTTTTTGTCATTTTCAGAAAACTGCAAATACAAATAAATAAAATAACATATCTCTAACAAACGTTTAGCAACAAACGTTGGATTATATAGGAATTTGTGTTCATTTAACACCAGTACAATCTAACTGTATATTACGTTACAGCAACTGTATTTTACGTTACGAATGACATATGGTAATTTCAGTATGTTTTTCATTACCGAGCATGATTATACCTGATACATCTCATTAGAATATCTTCATTACACGCACTGATAAACGTTTAACAGTTTGACTTGTACACATATACAAGAATCATAAGGTTGAAAGTTCAGTACTTACATACCGATCAATTAACCCCTCAGAGCTTCAGATCATAAGCAGCACGCACATTGAAATCGGCATGAATGACGCAACATGTTTTCATGGCGTCATCAAATTTGTTAGTGGCGTATGCACATTATGTGATGTTAAACAGCCATATATGGAACTGTAACGTAAAATACCGTAACGTGGAATAAGTAACGTAAAGTACCATAACGTGGAATACGTAACGTAAATACATCAGTCATTATTTTGAGCCACGCAAGTTAAACAAATGATAAAGTGCAAATATAGGAGACGGGAAATGGAACTAGGTTGCATACTTCTTACCAGATGATCATATAGATGTGCTCATGTTATGTATAAGGTCTTATAACGTCGTAACGTAAAATACACCCTTGTCTATACTGTATATACATTGTATCTTCAAAGAATTGTCGACAGTGGAATTTCATTAAAATCTCAAATATTAGGTTAAATGGCCAACTCACAGTAACATTCAGCATGATATCTTCCACGTGATGCATAAAAGATTACATTCACTATCACTAGTGTTATTTTGGATGCAACAAATATATACACCCTCGCTGGCGACATGCAACGTTTAACTTAAATGGGAGGTGAGGTGAAATTGGGTTTTACGTCGTGCTTGAGAATATTTCGCTCATATGACGACGTGTATGCGTGTGTATGCGTACGTGCGGCTGCTTGTACTAGCCCAGACTTAAGCTGGTTTTATAGTGCTAGCCCACCGAGATACCATGCCGCAGTGAAGCATGAATACACCACTCAGACACATTATACTGACTCCGAGCCGACTAGTCCTTGATGTACCCATTTATGCCGAGCGCCAGGCAGGGACCAACAAGTACCATATTTTAACGTCTTTTGGTATGACGCGGTCGGGGATCGAACCCGCGACCTTCCCCTCTCCGGGCGGACGCTCTAACCACTACACCACGGCGGCAGTCACTTAAATGGGATGTTTTGCATATCGTAAGAATATACTTTTCATGTATTATGGAAATGGTAATGGTAAATTAACACATAATACCCAATGTATCTTTATTTCCAAACTATCAATATTTTTGCACTTACAATCATGCGACAAGGCAATAGAGTCAATGTGCAGGTTGAGTGAGAATGAGTGATTTAGTCAATCGGCTTGTAGCCAAACAGGGTGAAATATGTATTACACGTGGCTGCGGGAGCGCATCGCTAGCGTTCCTGATAACGAGTGTAAATGATCAATTTTTCAACAGTCCAAATCTACCAGCCATTGATGTTTATGAAATTGTAGAAAAAAGGTATTGTAAGGCCACATAAAAACAATATTCTTGTTATTCATCACTTTTTCAAAAAAATATGGGTCGGTCGGGCGGATTCTATTTTCTTTTATGTCCCAAACCACTTAATTTCTGTGGATTTTTACTCCTTTTCTCCGATAGAAAATCAAAACTTAGAAGTGTGAAAATCCATGCACACTTTGAGAGTCAAAGTTGCATTTTCTCTAGTGTAATATTTTTTTTTAAATCGTTGGGTTGGGTCGAAGTTTTGGGTGGGGTGGTAATGTGAAACAAGAATAATTTTACATTTGGCCGTATTGACATTCAGCCGGGGAGAGGCCTTTGGTCCCAGTTAAGAGAGTATTATGTTTCCGAAGTCCGCTCAAGTTCTGTCCCGAGCGTCCGGACATTCGATGTAAACTGGACTGTAAAGTGCGTGTAACGGTAACATACTTTTCCAGAAATGAAAGTACAAACTACACTTGACGCTCCATGCATGTGTGTGCTGATATGCGTTTGTGCGTGAGTGCGTGCGAGCTTGTTTTGATTGGGTATAGCTGAAGATTAATAGCCTTTAGGTCTGGTCAAGTGTACGTTTGCCATCACTCCACAGAAAGTCTTTGAATGTCTACGAAAAGGGGAATTCGAATACGGCACAACTACGCCTTTAATCCATAATACAAAGATAATACCGATAAAGGGGAAAAGCGACACTTTTGGTCAGACCAATAAACCAGGAACATATTTCCTTCTGCCCTGTGGTGCCATGACCAGGGAGACTGCTGCTTAAAATCAGCTGATGAAATACCAGCGCCTTGAGCATGCACTAGTTGTGAGGATATGTGCGCTATATATAAATATCCTATGAATGAATGAATCAATGAACGTTAGCAGGCCCCTTACGTTTGTCAACGTACACACCTAAATGTTGATATACGAAATCTGTTCAACTAGTGCAACTAGTGCATGCTCAAGGCGCTGGTATTTCATCAGCTGTTGGCGAACAAAAATGCTGGCAGTACACATCGGCCCATCAACCACACTGAACAGTGGGACAAAGTCCTAAAACGTGAATAATTGGTACCTTGAAAGTAACTACTTGACTGCATGTTACTAAACTCAAGCGTAGTTCAAAATCGAAGGAACATATAGACTGACAATGGCGAGATAAAGCAGATGTATTCTAGCAACAACAATGGTGTCGTTCGGTAGCTAAGCAACGAACGGCATAACCGAGAGGGAGATAACCCTCAGATTCCCAGTATTTCCTATACCGCTAAATACCGCAAAATATAGAAGGATCACACAACAACAAGATGAACTTCAGAAACGAGTTTATTACTTATTCTCTGAACTGAAAAATCTTGTACAAGGTCTCGAGTTTGGAGACGCGATACCGGCTGTCAACTGTACTGGTTACATCAGTCGCTGGGCATTGTCTGTCACATCATGGATTTAGAACCTGATATTTGTCTGTATCTCTCCCACGACTGATATTCCTGGACTGTAAACAAATAAATTGTATAATGAACTTTGAAACTTGAAAATATATGAACTTACAGCAACTGGAACTGAACCCATGTAATGTAAATGTATGCAAACCTACGTCACATTGACCAGATCACAAACAACCGGACGTTGGACCACCCTGATCACGATGACAATCGGCGAGTATCAAAATACCTCACTAGACGGTAAACTGTAATACTTCATACCTGCTATAAATCACGGACTTGTGATAACTGTAACCTGTATGCTTAATAGGGCTGTGTATTAGCAAATAAATTGTCTTGCAATGTAGTGCGATACGTATTGCGATATATCGGGAACTTAAGTGTGTGACAGTGAGTGACACTAATTGTGCATGGCAATCTTATTTTCTACATTATAAGTCCCTAGACATATGTTATGGTTCTGATAGCAGCAATCTCAAAATTAGGTTGCATAGTCATGGATTTTATTTTTTAAATACAATTAATAGGATTACAGTATGCCGTTTTGTCATTAAATAAGGAAGGGAAATATTTGTTGTGAATGAAAGTCTGTGTAGATTTTAATTTAAACCATAAACACACTCACAAAAACTTTATGTTCTTTACCCAATATACCAATCTCAGAAAAAACTATTGCCATACGTATCATTTGAAAATATGCAATATACCGGTATACCGGTAATACCGTGTAGTCCTTATGCTTAAATCATCACAATCCGTCGGAATGAAGCAGGAACGGCTGCCATATATAATCCGGATGTCAACAACATGATGTACCTCCTACACCCTGATATGGCCGGAATAATGCTAACAGCAGTGTAAAACACTCCTTCCATCTCTAGATTTCAAGGTTTCAATGATTTAAAATGTATTTGGACATCTGATGGCATGAGAAATTAAGAATAAGGCGGTATTTAATGTTCACAACAAATTTTCAAATCCCATTCTGGATGTGTATACGCGAACAAAACGCACCTATTGCATATACTATACGTTTTCGCCATGATGTCACAAACCTGTGGAGATCTACAAACGTTTTCCCGACAGACAAATTGCCCTGCAGAATTCTGTAATGTCACTGGAAGCTTTGGGTTATGCTTGACTGTGATCCATTATGTAACATAAGTAGCGAATACTTCATATAACAAAATAATG